TGTCTGTGTATCTGTCTTTGTATGTCTGTGTATTTAGATGTATGTACATGTATATGTCTGAGCCTGTGTATGTGTGAGTCTGCATTTGTGTTAGTGTTTGCATCTGTATGTGTAGATGCACTACATTTCACTAGGTAAAAGTGTGACTATGTCTACGATCTATGTGTGTTTTTTTTTATTTTTGTGTGTCTTTGGGTGGAAGGCGTTTTTGCATGCTAGAAGGTGGGTGGGAGGGGACCAGGGGGCCCAAGCTAATTCTTGCCCAGGGTCCAGTCAACATTAAAGACGGCCCTGGCCTTGTTCACATTAAAATCATCTCTAATGATGAAGATCTCTCTCTGAGTCTGGGCTACAAATAGCTCAATAGATTCTTGATATTTCAAAACTTGTGCCATGACAAAGTATTGTGTCTTCTCTTACGTATAAGAGGTTACCTAGGTATTTATTATTTTATAATTAAAGCTTCCAAGTACAAAGTCCCTTCGTGGTCGCCAATTGTAACCGCGGCTGGTTCCCTTATTTACCACTACAATGTCTTAAAGCATAGAACTTAGTAGGGCTAACCATACAGATATCTTAGCCATAATTTTATATAGTTAGTGTAAGAGATCCTCTATTTAAAATATATAAATAATTGAGAATACAATATAAAATAAGGATTGGAAGCAATAGTTTTGTCTTTTAGATATTTATTATATAAAAATATAAATATAGACATATAAAATCCATTATTGCAGAGTTTATAAGATTAAACTAAATGCTTGCAAATATCATTAATAGGTTAATATACCTTCTGAACATGTCATCATGTCAGCCTCTCTGTCATTTTAAGAGGGAGCAGCGTCTGTCTCCAAGACTCTCCTCTGTGTCTGTACATTTAAAAGTACACCTATTTATACCTTAGGTGTCTCCATTTTAGGGTTACCATAGTTCATATATGAAAAAGTAACACTTTTTTAATTTTATCCATTTTTGGACCTCCCTTAACTTGGCAAACATACAAGGCCATAACTAAAGGGTGCATACGTCATGGGAATTTTCCTGACTTAGTTCAAGATGGTATCTTAAAGTCTGAATAGCTTATCTGTTGTTTATACTAAGTCGTAAGTGCACAATCGTGGGAGATTCCCAGATTTGGGGAAGTTCCATTAACTTGGGGTTACCACAGTATATTGTGTACTGAAAGAGTTGTAGTATAGCCTTGAAGCTTGTTTATACATTATTGTTATTGTAATTCGTCTGGAACAAAATGGCGCAAACATATTATGCACTGAGGTTATTGCTTAAAGAAACAGTTATGAAAAACAATATGTTCCATTTATAACACCTTGTCAATTTGCAATATCTCTTAAAGACAAAGTACACAGTTTATGAAATACAACATTTGATTCTAAAACTTGTAATATTTCCATTTGCCCATAACAAATTGATGAACTCTGGGTGGCCATTGTTCGTATAGCCGAACACGTGGCAGCGGCCATCTTAAACTGCCGAACGAACAGTGGTGTTCAGCTACCAAACTCTGAAACTGAAAACGGACACTTTTCTTCATGAACACCGCTAAAGCCGCTGACCTCCCTTCTCCTGCATTCATTCATTTATCTGAACACCGGTCCATTCAGTACTTTGACCGTGTGAACAGTGCTACCCCAGATAGCTGTGCCATGGGACCCATTTGTATAACAAAAGACTATGTAAAAGACTTTGGCTCCATGGCCATTGAACTGTATGTATGTGATCTGAGCGTCATTCGGTAATAATGTGCACTCAGATCTAAGCTATCTCGGGATATGTATATAAATGTATAGGTTTTATGCAGTAGTTTTTATATTATATATTTTTATGTGTTTTATTACCATGTGTAAAATGGAGTTTTGTCTCTATCCTCAGAGATAATTGAAGACTATGCTAGCTTCAGTGTACAGATAATCTTAATTTTAATAATGTCAGGAGGCGAGTATTTTGCATAATCTTTCTTTACTAACTCCATAGCAGCAAAGAAAAGAGTGACATAACTGAGAACCAATCACAATGCAGTATAGAGTATAAGAGGTGTAATGTATGACATCATTTCCTCTTTAAAGCATGCGACATCACAAGATCACAATGCAGAATAACAATAAAAATAACGTATAACATGAAAATAGAACATAAACGTATGAAGAATTCTTGACAGGGAAGAGTTCTTGATGTCAAGTGACGATCTTCCATGACAAGACGATGATGATATCTTGAAGGAAGTCTTTAGTGTCCTGATTCATCTGGTTAAACTGAAACGAGAATGTAAAAGGGTATTCGATTCCGGAGATGGTTGTGTAAAACAATGAGTTGTCTATCCCTTATGATTAAGTAAACCATCATACTGCAATAGAGCAAATACATTCCTCCCATCTATTGATG